GTCAGAACCCGCATGCCCTCCAACAAACTATCCACGCACAAGGAGGCAATTAACTGTAATTGTCTCTGTATATTTGCAGCAATGACTCTCAGGCGAATAAAAGTATTGTCCCAGCGATCGAGTCGTCTTCTTCTCTTTAGCATGTATTGTTCGATTAAGCTAGTAATAGCTAAATTCATACAGCTTTGACAGAGTTTACAGTTGCGGAGTGATTATTCGAGGAGCACCAAAGGATAAATGGAACATAAACAGAGGGCTGTTACAGTGGAACATCGGTTAACGAGTTTAATCCATTGCGGCATAGAGCTTGTTATGTGAAACGCTCGTCTTGCGAAACGTAGTTAATCAGAGAGCATCAGTTCACTGATTGGCTACAGACGACAGAGGGCCCATGCCCTGGGCGCAAGACTCAACGGTGGACACAGACACACACAAGTACTGGTACCTTGTTAACTGAGCGGAAGCTCGTCAAGCGAAACAAATTTTCTGTTAATAGCTCGCTCGTTATCTGAAATTCTCGTAGATGGGGCTACTCGTCACTCGGGGCTCCAATGTACATGCATTTACGACGATAATGTGGTGAAAAGGCTCTTAGTCAATCAGTGACTAAATCGGACGATATGTCATGAAGACATCCCACCTGGCGAACCAATCACGCACGACTACTCAAAATGGATGAACGGGCATCATGCAGACGATAGACTCGTCCCTTGGTAAATACGAGAGGAGCAGTAGTGGAAATAGAAGATATTAACAAGTTGCATACTTGTGATTATAAATCACCCAAAGTGTCCCAACACAGACAGTGGAAAACAGTAACCAAGGAAAGAAAATCGGCAGAGGAGCTCACCTGCTTAGCGCGATCACCCACTGCGTCTGCGTCCTCCTCTTCCTCATCTGCCAGACCCTCAAACTGGGCGTGTGTGGCGATGAACTTTCGCTGCATGTTTGACATCTTTGCAAGGATGTTGGCCTGCCGCTGGCGCTTTGCCTCAAGACGACGCTGTTTCTCCAACGCCGGTGACTGCATCAAAGCGAGAACACACAGGTCAGGAGATGAGGGGTGGGGGCGGGAACGGTGTGAGAAAAGTGTTAAGTCATAATCCTTAAAGCGGGGCGCCTCAGTCGGTGCGTGTTTGCTCCCTAAACGGCCCGCGTTATAAGTACGTTGGACCAACACGGAAGTCAAATCAGGGTACGGCAGACGCC